TGTTTGTTTAGATAGTTTCTAATAGAATCCAAGAAATAAGTTATTCTAATCTTTTTGTCAATTAAATTTTCTATCGTATACATGCAAACTGATTTTCATCAATGTTATTTGAAAAATAGAGATAAAATGAATTTTCGGATCCCTAATTTCAAAAGGCTACAGAAACGGAAAATTTTTGCTTAAACATTTTTTAAAACAAATTATCAGCAAAAAGAACCAAATCATGAAGAAACTCATACTTGTACAGAGTGTTTCATAATAACCATCCCTAATATTTTGGAAAATGAATTTTAAAAAATTACACGTTAGAGAACGCAAATGAATATTTAAGCATGGAAAAATCCAATACACGCTATCCAAATCTAACGAGTCATTACTGAAGCAGAGGTAGGTCAAAACCTATTTGATTGTCTGATGTCTCTCCGTATTCAGTATTGAAAATTCTAACACTGTGTGAAAGAATACTTATTTCTAGTTGACATATACACTCTAAAGGGTACAGCTAAATTAAAACACTAATGTTTAAAAATGCTTGCACCAAGCTTACGCGTTTTTTATACACATTTTTTATACATTATTTTCGCTCCCAAGAACACCAACATTAAAAACTTTGGATGTCGTCTGCACATTGTTTACAACCGAGCACGGAATGGCTTTTATTTGTTGCAGTTTTACAAGCTGATAAAAGAGTGTTTTTTTTTAATTGAAATTAAAAAAAATGAGTTCTTTACTAAATAGCTAAATTTATGACGAAATACTACTAATTCTTTTTGAAGAAACCTTAAAAAAATCACCTGACTATTTTTGACTACAATGGTGCTTAATCAATTTGGGCAATAGGAATTACTGATACAACGGTGATTTGTCCAATTTTAATTAGTACCAAATATACTAACATAGCTGCAGTTACACTTTTATACTTGGTAATTGGTAAAACAGCAACAATACTGCGCAGTTTTTATATAGATATTATTGAGAGTGGTTTTTACAGCTCCATCGAAACAGATAAGAACAGGTGAAAATTTCTTGATTGTCATTGCCGACAACCATAAGTTAGTCTTCGAGCAAAAGCATCATACCAAATTATAATGAACAAAGTTAATCGATATTTTGATGGAATAAACAATTAAAACGAGTTTTTACTAATCTAATAATGTAATGTACCAGAAAATACTAATAAATAATAAAAATTAAACTATTTTATCTTCTTATTGTACTAATTTAGTGATTATTTATTTTTGTCTCCTCCCCCCGAATGGAGCAAATTTAATAATTTGTTTCTCCCCTGTGAATTAGTAAAACATCTCCCTTAATTTTGCTTTTAAGTACAGTACTTATTTTTTAATTCAAAAGCCGTTGATTTGAAATTTTTTAGGTTTCAGATGACTTTCGAAATTCTTATTTGGTGATGCAGTACACCTATGCTACCACGTTTTTGTCAACATTTAGTTTATCTGACATAGAATAAAAATTAATTAAATACTGAAGAACGTCCTATAAACTTTCTTTTAGATAACATAGATCAATAAATTTTTAATTTCAAATTATTTGGAAAAAAAATAGAATTGCCGCCTGTTTAATTTATATCAATGAATTTCACTAAAACAATGAGAAAATTCTATTTTTCAAACATCGCTCCTGAAATTACAAATTGAAATTTCCGAACGATTCTTAAGGTTCGGGCTGGCTTAAATTACCTCTTTCACCCGATGTCCAAATTTCAAAATTGCACAAACGATACTGGAGTTATAAGAGAAACTCACGGACCAACAAACATACAGAAACTCTTCCTTAGAATGCTATAGATTTATACATTTTTAAAATACGATCCATTTCAGTATAAGAAAAAGGGTGCTTAATGGTTCTAAGGATCATGAAGCCGATACCATCAATAAGGTGGAAGAACTCTTAATTTTATCTTACACATACTACAGGTTTCTGATTATACGTACACCGAAGAGCCATTACATTATGACCACCCTCCATCTATAACAATGAGCCCGCCCAGGTTTTCATGGATTCTCGTCCAGGAACAATCTCTTCATGGGGCACATTGGAACCCATAATCCTCATAGAACAATCCCTGACGTCTGTAAGCTACTTAAACATAGTTGCAGACAATTTTCACCCATTCATGGCAACAGTTTTTCTTGCGGGGGATGGTGTTTACCAACAGGATAATGCACCATGTCATAAGGGTCGAATCGTCATGGATTGGTTCGAGGAACATTCCAGTGACTTTCAAGTCATGTCTCTGCCCCCAAATTCACCTGACCTTAATCCAATAGAGCAGTTGTGGTCCTACTAGGAAAACCAAATTCGTAATGCCACGCTACCCCCTCGCAATATGAGGGAATTGCAGGATCAGTTGGTGAGCGCTCGGTACCAGATACCTCAGACTACCTATCAGCACCTTGTGGAATAAATGCCACGGCTGGTGCTAGCAGTTTTGAGGGCTGAAGGTGGTCCTACGTTTTATTATCAGGGTGGTCATAACGTAATGGCTCTTCGGTGTATAGATCTGTCACATAGCACAATATTGTGATCATTAATTTTACCAAAACGTATTAAATATAATAATATTAACTAAAAAAACATTGTTGATAACAACCGATCAATTGTTATCAATTACGATAATATTACGATCATTATCAATATGATAGTATATATCGAAAAATATTTTAGCTATTATTATACTTAACAATAATACTGGTGAAAAAAAAAACTTTTTTTACTGTTCCATAAGATTTATAACAGCTCTCTGATACCTTCGTAATGCTGATTTCAAACCTGAAATGGGCTATTCTTACCAAGTGACTGTTTTTAATGACATTTTTAGTTTTTTTTTTTTGTCGAAATGCACAAGACGTTATATATAGCAGAGGGTTGAATAAATATTGCGACAAAATTCTAAGGGAGTTGGGCGTTTCATCAAGATTGAAATCGCACAGGAACCCTTGCTAGGAAATATTCCCATACGCGACCAGGGGATGTTCGCTATTATGAACTATTTCTTTGTATGCTTCTAAACAGGTTGTGATAAGGAAGGGTCCTTAGTCGCGTATGATGACATTTTAGGTCAAGGGTTCCAATTCAGATTTAATCCTGCTGCAACTCCCCTAAAAATCGTCGCTATATTTAAACAACCCTCTGTGTTATATAACGTTTTTACGCTTGGACATTTTGACAAAAAAATAGACTAAATGTATCATTTTAAATAATTTGCAGATATAAAAGTAAAAACAATTTCATATTTGAAATCCCTATACCCGATAAGGCAAGATCAAGTATTTGTATAAATGCAACAACAAAATGCGTTCTCAAGAGTAATTTTTTAATATGATAGCATGGGTATTAATAAATTTTACTTGATGTGTCAAAGCAATTTAATTTTCAATTTGATTCAATTTTAACAATATTCAGGACAATTTCAAATTGTCTAAATAATTTACTTGAAATCCACATACCCGACTTAATATTTGTATCAAATATCAAGTGATCAAGTATTTGTATAAATGCAACAAAAAATGCGCTTCCAAGTGTAATTATTGAATACGATAGCATGGATATTAATAAATTTTACTTGATGTGTCAAAGCAATTTCATTTTCAATTTGATTCGATTTAAACAATATTCAGGTCAATTTAAAATTGTCTAAATAATTTATTTGAAATCCACATACCCGACTTAATATTTGTATCAAGTGATCAAGTATTTGTATAAATGCAACAAAAAATGTGCTTCCAAGTGTAATTATTGAATACGATAGCATGGATATTAATAAATTTTATTTGATGTGTCAAAGTAATTTTATTTTCAATTTGATTCGATTTTAACAATATTCAAGACAATTTCAAATTGTCTAAATAATTTATTTGAAATCCACATACCCGACTTAATATTTGTATCAAGTATTAAGTGATCAAGTATTTGTATAAATGCAACAAAAAATGCGCTTCCAAGTGTAATTATTGAATACGATAGCATGGATATTAATAAATTTTATTTGATGTGTCAAAGCAATTTCATTTTCAATTGTATTCGATTTTAACAATATTCAGGACAATTTAAAATTGTCTAAATAATTTATTTGAAATCCACATACCCGACTTAATATTTGTATCAAGTATCAAGTGATCAAGTATTTGTATAAATGCAACAAAAAATGCGCTTCCAAGTGTAATTATTGAATACGATAGCATGAATATTAATAAATTTTATTTGATGTGTCAAAGTAATTTTATTTTCAATTTGATTCGATTTTAACAATATTCAGGACAATTTCAAATTTTCTAAGTAATTTCATATTTGAAATCCCCATACCCTACTTAGACAGGATCAAGTATTTGTATAAATGCAACAAAAAATGCTCTCTGAAGTGTAATTATTAATAAATTACTATTAATAAGTTACTATTAATAAATTATAAATAAAAAATATTAATAAATTTTATTTGAATAAAAGTTGAATTGGTAGCTGGAATTAATAACAATTAATTTCATTGGGTTAGATAAACTTTATTTGGGTAATTAGCAAAGTAAACAATATTTTATTTTATAACCGTCGATGAACAGCCGACCCAATTTCATGGGTTTACGACTACTTACGTTCAACTCCGTAGCCTTGTAATTTTGAACCAATCCNAATTTCATTTTCAATTTGATTCGATTTTAACAATATTCAGGACAATTTCAAATTGTCTAAGTAATTTCATATTTGAAATCCCCATACCCTACTTAGACATGATCAAGTATTTGTATAAATGCAACAAAAAAAGCTCTCTGAAGTGTAATTATTGAAAACTATTAATAAATTATAAATATTGCAATATATACTTTTATAACGCTTTTTTGACAATATCTCGTGAGATTAAAATTCGTAATTATCAGTCATATAGACCAATATTCGCGCTGCAAACAACATGAAAAATGTATCTCCAATTGAGGGTGCTTAAAACTAAAAGTACCAGTAAAATAATACTTCTTTTCTGTTTCTTGCAGGCTTTATTTGCTATTCTCTCTTCAACAAATATAAAAAATGAAATATTATCTAAAAATTGCAACTCTTGTGATGATGGCCCTGGCTGTCCTGACAGTAGCGGTGAGAGCCAAAAATATTGGACAACAAGAGCGAATCTTCTATCCTTCACAGTTGGATGTAAGTATTTATTAATTTCCAAATAAAAATATTTTTAACTCAACTCAATATAGAAATAAAGGTATACAACGTAAAAAGACGAATAATAACACATATTCTTACATACTTTGGTTTTTGTTTTGTTTGAGCAGAAACTTCAATGTCCAAACAAAGATGCAGAAATAAATTACAAGCAAGTACCACAAGAAAAAAAATAGTTGATCAGTAGATGATAGAGAGCAAGTATAAACAAATTAAATGTACAAAAGAAAGGAGTAAAATAGCAAGTGTGGTGTGATAAGGATAAGGTGATGACTTTATTGGTGTCAAGATGCACACTGAAAACAGTATGGTCAAAACTACTAGAATATAGACAAATTAGCAGTGTTTTTGTCTTTTTGGGAACATTAAAAATTTCGATAATTTTTACCGAAGTGCTTTGGTAATGATTTTGGTAAATTTCCTAAAAAGGTATGATTTCTGATATGTGATATAATTTAATAAGTGTGGTAAAATTTAATAATTTAATCATACTAGCTTAAATCATAGTATAAAACTAGTTATTCGGTTAGATTTACTTTTCTATTTTTCAGTGATCAGAATTATAGTTTGGAAAACCAGAATTTAAGGAGAACCCCTACCAAATCAAGAGAAAATAACCAACTGCAAGATTTAATTACCATATTTTTACCAAGATTTAATTACCATATTTCCATAGCCTTATTAAATTAAAATGTTGTACCAGAACTGTCATTAACTGTCATTATCAAATTAAATGTTTTACCAGAAATGTCATTACCATGCAGTATGGAAATTTACTAAAATTTATCAAATATTGGTAAAGAATGAGATATAGAGGGATACGTAACTAAATTATTTAAACTTTTTCAAAACTTTATTAATTTTAAGTCCTACCTCCATTTTTATCTAGCGATACGCATCCTGCCTAAACTTTTCTCGAACTCAGTCAAAAATATCATATAAAAGCATCAAAATATTCATCAATTTTCTTAGCAATTCCCCCCAAAATTCCTCCGAATTCAGTTATGATTGTCATACTAAAAATATTAGCATAAAAGTCTCTTAACATTTTCGTGAGCTATTTATTCAGGCAATCTACATTCCATAAAAAACTTTCCCTTATTCAGTTAAAATTAACAATACTCGGATTACAATTTTTTCTTAGCAATTTCGGCTAGAAAACCGTATTTTTAGAAAATATCCTTGATTTCAGACAGGAATATCATATAAAAGCAGTCGTATAAGAACTTATTTACCGTTTTCATTCTGATTTGAGCTGGAAATGCTCATTTTAAAGAACTCACACAGAAATCAACCCAAATCTAGCCAGGAATAATACGTAAAAATAGTCTCATCAAAGTTTCACGTAAAAATAATCTCATCAAAATTTCTTAACAGTTCTATGAGCTATTTGCGCCAATAATCCACATTTTGCAGAAAATTGTCCCAATTTCAATCAGAAATATCTTATAAAATTAATGGCATTGAACTCCTAACATTTTTCACAGCTACTTGCACCGAAAATCAACATTTTCAAATTGCTTAAAAATTGTCGCTTCCAAATTTCTTATGAGCTTTCTGGGCCATTTGTGCTAGAAACCCACATTTTGTAAAAGATAATCCCGAATTTCATTTAGGAGTATCAAATAAAAACAAACGTGTCAAAAGTCCTTATCAATTTTGTGAGTTATTTTGGTCGGAAATCTGTACTTTGTACAAAATTATCCCAAATTTGAATAGAATCCCAAAGAATAGCTATATCAAACTTTTGAGCATTTTTCTGGGCCATTTGTGCCGAAACTCCAATTTTGCGCAACATTTTTCAATTTTAGAATTTCCTACAATAATAATCACATCAAAATCTAATAACAATCTCCTCAGTAATTTGTCCAAAAACCAATTTTTTTTTAAAATCGAGCCGGGAAATAAGATGAATAGTATCAAGTCTGCTTATGAATAGAAATTCAATATTTATTCCAAACTGAACTACATTCATTCATAAATCTAATAAGCCAAATCTAGTCTCATTTATTAACGAATGTAATATGTATAAGTTTTGAAATTATAGACTTTTACATGCATGAAATAAATTTATTCAAGCAAAATTTTCTATAAAAAGCATCAGTATTTGCATTTGAATAGTTTTCCTTTTTCAATTGATTTTCGGAAGAATATCAAACTTGTTTACTACCCTAATCAACTGTATTCATCTTTGAAATTAGGAGAAGGAAAGGAGGAATAAAATTGAATAATATGTTTTACATTTTACTTTTACAGGAGAATATTTCCAATATATTCTTAACTTCAGAAGTAATACCCATAATTTTAATGAGCGTCGAAATGTTCTCCCCTACTCTGTTACTTTAACGTTCTAAAAATTATTTCTTTCATAGATGCCTTTCCAAAAAGCAATTATTATCTTTTAAAAACTCCTCTCGAACTAAAACGTAGTGAAGTAGGCGTATTATTAGATTTCATTTTCATTTAATGAAAATTTAATGTTTTTTTTTAACAGATACTCATGTTCCATTGTTCACTTATAATTTTTCTTAAAAAAATCACTTTATTCCATACGTCAATTTATAATAAAAGTTATTATAGATTAACGTATCGAAAAATATTTATATGAAAATATTGCTTCACCATTAATTACATAAACTATATATAAATATTGCTTTATAGAAAATTCAATGATGATTTAAAGTTATTAGCTACATAGAATTAAAGTACTTTTGTTTTTACATTGTCCCTTCGTTAGTAAACCAATAATGAGATTACGATTAAGAAAGTTGTTATGAAATATTAAAAGACAAATTAAATTTAATTTAGTGTCAAGTAAAAATGACTTTAATTATTTAGCTTAAATAAAAAAATTGTTTTTAGATTATTCCTATAATAATAAATACATAAATATAAACTGTATTCAGTGCCAAATTCATTATTCCATTACCAAACATATCTTACAATATATAAAGCTAAATTGTTGTTTTTATAACATTAATTTCTATTTTATTCATATATCAAAAATAAGTAATTTTTTTAGGAAACATACTGTCAAATAATATCTTATAATTCCATAAATTAAGAAATAATTCAAATTGTTTCCGTGCTGTTTTCGTGGTCTTTTAAATAATATTTTTAAACGCAGACGTATCACAAGACCATATTTTAGAAAATATAAAGACTAAAAACGTTAAAACTTTCTTTCAATGAAACTATTGTAACTTTTGATATTCAAAACTTACGCAAGAAAATATTTGATATTCTAGATTCTTTGTTTCGAAATGTAAATTCTATTTTATGGAAATTCACTTGGGCATAATGCGTCTCACTTTATAAAAATAAATTTAGTTTGGTTCTTATATATTATTGATAAAATATTTGAATCATAATTTTAGCTAAAATTTTCACGAAATTTATCCTATATTATTATGCATCAAACATTTTTTAAATCATGTAAAGTAAATATGGTTCTATTTATGTTAAAATAAACTATTTATTTTTAGGTTTTTCTTGTTATACGCTATAAATTTTCTTTATACAAAAATTTTAAAGCATTAAAGTTATATATTTGTAATGAAATCAGAATTGCGTTTAACTTAACCTTTCTTTCATATGTTTTTCATATGTTGTTAAACGTGTTTCTGTTAAAAAACAAGGCATATTTTTTTCAAAAGCGAAATGAATCCTGAAAAGAGATGGTTGAAATAAAATAATTAAAAGTTTTTTTTGGAGTAACTTTTCTATGAGTCTGACGGGAAAAGTAATAAATAAAATATAGCGTATAACTTATAAAAATCGAGTTTAAATAATCTTGGTCAATTTTCCGGGTATTTTATTCATTTCTAAAAATATTTGCCTTAAAAACTTCGTTAGAATTTATTATAAGAGTTTTAAGAAATGCAAATGAAAAGTCTGTGATTTTCGAAGAAAAATAATAAATTTAAACCCCAGACTTTTCATCTGCTTTCTTTAAAAACTTTACAAGAAATTCTTGCAACACATTTTAAGATAAAATTTATAAAAATAAACATAATGCCTGAAAAATTAGCCGAGACTACATAAACTCGATTTTTACACTTAATATTTTATTCATTCGTGCAGATCCATAGAAAAAACGTTTTTCAAAGAAATATTTAAAATTACTTTATTTCAAATTTGTTCATCTTAGGATTCATTAAGCCTTTGAAAGTTTTGAGTAAAAGTCAATTGCATAGCAATATAATGTTGTTTGAACATTAATAACTCAAAAATTATTTCGAAGGGAAATTTTAAGTCAAATAAATAATTTGTATAAATATTGTTAAAATTTAATAAAGCTGTGTTAGACATTAAAACTTATTAAATTATACAAGCTATAAGCTAAAATTTCATGAATAGTACGATAACAATTATAAATATTTTTATTGTTATTAATAAATGATCGTGTTTAACATAAAAATTAAACTATATTGATAGAAAATTTGTTTCCTCACAATTATTATTTTAAATATGTAAATAATTTAAAAGCAAATATTGAAATCAATGCTGAAAGTAAACCATAAATTCAAACATAGTAGATGCATCTATATAACGCAAGATGAGAGAAAAAGATTAAAAATTCAATGAAATACAAATACGAAATGAAAACTTTTGTATGAGATTTATAATGCAAACAGTCTATACATGCATTAAAACAATATTTATTTACAAAACTAAGGAATAATTTATAATACGAAACGAAATTTTACAGAATAATTCATTTGTAAAAATGTTAACTTTCATTTTAAGTCAAAAACAAATGAATTATAATGCATTATTCTTCTTGATTCAGTGAAGATAAATTTAAATTTTTTGTTTAATAAATCGAAACGATAAAACAAACGTATAAATTATGTACATTTTCATTTCTTTCGGAATTATTGTATACTGAAACTTATGTAAAAAGTACCTCATCATTTTTTTAAAATTAAATATGCGAAAAAGTAATATAAGAGAATTGTTTATTTTTGTGACTTTTA